GACGACGCTGCGAGGGAGTTTGCCGTGTCCCTGCGAAATCATAACGTGGCAGTACTCGAGGACGCCGGGGGTATTCGTCTCGAGGAAGACGTGGCCCGACTAATTCCAGACCTTGAGAATCTCTACAAGAGTAGAGAGAGCAGGCGTACGCGCAGGAGGGTGCCACGGACGAGCCCGTGCGTGGCTCGCAATGACGGGCAGGCGGGCAGGTCCACCGAGTGCAATGCGCGCACCCAGCCGCGACGAAGTCGCTTGGTTATTGGGTCCAGCACCTCGATCGTGTCGTGGGACTAGTAGTGCTCCGCATGAGATCCAGTGGCACGTAAACAACGAACCTCGATGACGCAGAAGTCACGGTTGAGGATGCCGGTTGGGCACTCGACGGCCATCCATGCGACGCCGAGGTAGTGCATCGAGGGGCGTCCGGGCGTCGGCTGCTTGAGCGTGTAGAGGCAGTGGCGGTCCAAAATCGTTTGGCCCATAATGAGCGCGTACGTCGCCAGCTTGAGCTTTGAGTCGAGGTAAAAGAAGTGCGCAATCTCGGCCAGTGTGGCCTGGATGACGGTGCGGCCGCAGACAGCGGGCATCGTATAGTCGATCGCGTCATGGCCCTTGTGGATCTACACACCGCCGAGAGATAAGACGACGTCGGAGCCATCTTTGGTCGATACGCGCGCGATGCGGTTGGTCTTCTTGTTGCTGACGACGGACGCGACGCGGGCCTTTTGCAGGTGCAGCGCGTTCTGCACCGTGTCGTTGCACGCGGCGTGGCCAAAGTTGACGATCGCGTCGCGCTGCTTGGGCGTCAGCGCCGGGCACTCAAAGTAGTCGGCGGGCAGCGGCAGCGCCATCGCGCAAGTCAGATATAGAAAAGTGTTGCGTAATGCCGCCACCAGTTGGCGCAGCCATACGAAATCCCGATCAAATTATACAATAGTGCTGAGAATGAGTTGCAACCCTTTTCAAACTGCAAATATGATGTGACAACCACGTTGACCGACGCAATCGTTGCGTGCATTTTCGTGCAAGAGTATATGCTGCGAGCGTGACGTGGTATCCACCAAGATACTCAATCGGTGTTGACGGTACAGAATGGAAACACCGTGGGAAGCCAATGCCGGTAGCGACTCGAAGTGTTATCGTAGAAACCTTGGCCGTCGTCGACTTTACCAGCGGTGTAATGGCGCTCGACCTTGATAACTTTACACGCTTTACGATCGATTCGGCCCTACGACTGCACTTTGAACGGTCACGGTCCTAATATATATAGGAACGTGTTTCGCGTTATCTTCGTTGTTACAAAGAGTTCGCATACATAGAGACTAGCAATCACGGTCCTAATGGTCCATCAAATGCTCCCGCAGGACGGAAATCCGCGTTGATACAGTCATTCTTGCTTGAGACACCCCAGCCTTTTATGCGGCTCTGCGATGGCCACGTGGCACGATGTGCTGCTAGCACCACCGCCGACTTGATTGGAAGACAGACCGAGTTCCGACCCGTTCCGTGTTGGCCTCCAGCCCTGCACATGGCAAGACATAGTTATCGTTTACGTCTTAAATGAAGGTAGAATATTAAATTATTGTATTCGATGAAGACATACTTGAGAATATACGGCACATTGCGACGCTTTCGATGTTGTACCTTGGACGGTTTCGCCCAGATTGCACTTTTCAAAATTCGACCGATGACGTACCAACTTGTGGTCGCCAATAAGAACTACTCGACGTGGCCCCTCCGCGCGTGGGTCGCGCTCAAGGAAGCCGGCGTCCCGTTCGAGGAGCTCCTCGCGCCCAAGGACGACCTCTCTCCTGTCTCGCTCCGCGACGAGTACCTCAAGATCTCGCCGATCAAAAAGTTCCCGCTCTTGATTGTGCACTCGGCTGGCGGCGCGCCGCCGCTCATGGTCTGGGACTCGCTCGCGATCATCGAGTACGTCGCCGAGACGTACAAGCATCTGTGGCCGACGCACCCGGAAGCGCGGGCGTTTGCCCGGAGCGCGGCCGCCGAGATGCACTCGGGCTTCATGGGCCTCCGTTTTACATGCAACAACTGCATTAGCCTGCGTATCCAGCTGCACTCGATGAGTGATGAATGCGTCGCGGACCTAAAGCGCCTCAACGACCTGATCACCGAAGGTCTCGAACGCTTCCGTGGTCCGTTTCTTGCTGGTGCTACGTTCACGGCCGCAGACGCCATGTACTGCCCCGTCGCCTTCCGAGTCCAGACGTACGATCTCACGTTCGAGAACGAAGCTGTGAACGCGTACTTTGCGCGTCTTCGCGCACTCCCGTCTATGCAAGCGTGGGAGGCGAGCGCGTTGGCGGAACCGTACCGCATCACGTCGTACGAGGCCGACTTTGTTCGCAACGGAACCATCCTCCGCGATCTCCGCACGGCGTAGGCAGCTTCTTATAAGATCCAAGTCCACATATGTTCATGGGCTTTGGACTCAACGGTCCAGCCGTTTTGCTAGGACCTGTGGTAGAGCACAAAACACTCACTGATGGCAACGCACGACCGTGGCTACTTGTGGACTCGGCGTAGTGTTTCGAGTACATGCATCACGGGGAAACAAGGTAGCTCCCATAGAATTATTTACGCGTTAGAGTCGCACGGTCGTCATCGTCGCCTCTTTGGCTAATGCGTCTTTGGTCACTGCGAGCGCTTTCTGGTCCTGGGCAATTGCAGCGGCCACCTGTTCGTACTTGGTGACTTGGGTGTAGAGGTACGAACAAAACGACGACGTCAAATCGAGGTTGGAGTTGGTGACGGAGAAGAGCGAGACGCGGGTGTGGGCGGGTGCGGCCTCGTTGGATGCTTGCGAAGCGCTGAGAACAGAGTCAAACGACGAGGACCGGCTGTCGTGGTTGAGCTTGCTCAGCTCCATGTGCTGGTCAAACGCCTCGAGGTGGTCCAGCATGCCGTCCGTTGTGCGATCGAGCATCGGCAGATCGTCGAGCTCCGAGTCCGACTCGGCGGTTGGTTGCTTGCGCTCCATCGAGTCGAGTGTCAGCGTCGACTGCGACGTCCGCCGCGCGTCGTCTTCGAGCGCATCGACCGAAGCGCCTACACCACGATGCATTCAATGTCTTCTCAGTCGGCGCGTCTTTTATAGTACCGGTGAAGCACGTCCGACAAATCCGAAGCTTGACGACGTGCTGTTTGATGGAGAAGTGCCAGTCGCTAAGGCAGTGCGAGCAGATGACCTACGCCGCATTAGAAGCCGAAGGGAAGAGGCGGCGAGCGTGTACATGGCCACACTTGCGGCAGTGCTTCTTGTGCACAAACCAGCCAAACTTGCGGGTGCAGACGGCGCACCACCCGACAAGAGCCTTTTGCTGGAACGATGTGACGGGCATGAGAAGACTCGTGTCGAGCGTCTTGAGGAACCGCTGCGTGGCAAAGTACTCTTCGAGATTGAGGACCTGCATACAGCGATTGCATCCAGGATCGCTCTGGAAAGAAACCTCCTCGTACCCGGGACACTTGGCGCTGGACAACGTCGCGCAGGATGTGACTCTTGAGCATCCCATGTACCTGCGGCACGATAATGTGAAAGTGCTCGAGGATGCCCGGCGTCTTGGTCTCCAAGAAGACGTGACCCGACTACGGAAAGCATCGTTTGAAGATTGCCATCGTGCGAGAATACGAACCCGAACGATTTGGCTGCGCACAAGGCCCTTGAGCGGCGGACAGCACGGCAGCTCGATCGAGTGGATGGTGCGGACCCAGCCCCGACGCAGCTCCATGGTCGACGAGTCCATGACTTCAATCAAGTCGTGAAACTATTCCCAGCGTGTTCAGTGACGCCTGGACGCGCTGCATACTTGTACCTCAACAAAACACGTGTCGCGGTTGGACATGAGTGCCGGGAACTCGGTCGCCATCCACGCAATGCCGCAGTAGTGGAATGCTTCGTGCACATCGGACGAGTCGGTGAGCGTGTAGAGCGTTTGGCGGTCGAGCAAGCTCTGGCCCAGCACTGCCTTGTATGTTGTGAGCTTGTCCTTGGAGTCGAGGTAGAAAAAGTCGGCGATCTCTGCAATTGACGCCTGAATGAGCGACCGCCCCGTGTACGTCGTGAGCCACGGGTCCACAACGTCCCGGCCGCGGTGCACCTAGTCCTTGTTGTCAAAACCAGCGAATCAAGACATGGACGTACGCGCGCCAGGCGGCTGGTCTTTGGGTTGCTCACGACCGAGACGACCGCCTCGGTCTGGGCCGCGATCGCGTTCTGGACCGTGTCTTGGCACGCCGCCTGGCCAACCGCAATGATGTTTTCAAAGTCCTCAGGCGACAGCGGCGGGCACCGAAAGTGGTTGAGCGGCAGTGGCAGCGACGACATGATTGTAGGTGCAATCTCGAAATGACACCAACTTCGGCGCGAATATTACCCTTCGGCCGAGAGACGCACGCAAATCGAAGTTCGAAGACGACATTTGTCCACACCGGCGCATAGAACTGACTGCAACTTGCCGTTCGCGACCGACCCCGTGGCCTGCGCTTGGCCCATGAGCGCTCCTCCTTCTGCCTCGACGCCGGCGAGATGCTGACGAAGGGCGTGTGTGTGCGTCGGACAGTACGACGCCTGAGGCTGACGTCGGCGGATCAGGGTTGGAACTGCTCTGACAAGTACTGTCGCAAGTCGAGGGGGATGGGCCCGACCGACGTGACATCGATCACCGCACAATGCAAGCGCGAGGCTATAGTAGAGGCATATCAAGCAATGGTGCGTCGCAGTGAGATCAAGTGTTTCTATGTGGGGAACCGTGGGGAACATGACTAAACACCGACCGTAGCGTCAAGCGTGGCTCAGCAAACAAATGATAGGATCGCTCGGGTGCGAGAGTCGTATCCGTTGGTTGCGTGCCGAGCGACGAGCCAAACACTGACGCGCCGTCATCGGTTCAAGTATCCATTGGGTTGTGCCAAGAAGACGGGTGTACTTACCCATTGCAGCATGCGTGGACCGCAGCAATGACAAGTTGACTCAACTCGGGACGACGAGCTCTTACACTCTCTAAAAATGCGACGCAAAAGGCGATTTTCGACGCAATTATCGGTGCGAGCCCCAGGCCATGTTTTGAACAGTTCAGATCCAAGCTTACCAGACTCTTGCGTCAGTCACCTCTGCGTGGGAGGATAGTGTGGGAGCAGCTTGTGGGAGCTGAGCGGGGCGTGTGCCTTGGGTATGTGCAGAGATTCTTCGAGACATTGCCATGGTATTAGCCAGGTATGATTGCTTCAATTCGATGGTATGCGGATCGTCGCGCTGACTCGGCTCTCCCATCGGTCCTTTTCCTCGGCAATTCAGGTCATGGCGATGGCTGGCAGCGCAGTATCAAGTGTAAAGTATCAAGTTGAAGTGCCGAGTTTAACGCGTCAAAAGACAGAAAGAGCCACTGGCGCCAATCTTCGTATTCAACCAGATGGTTGCAATGCGGCTCGGATTGGTTATAAATAGCCTATATTTACCCAATCCTAGGTCGAATAAATCGAAGTCCGAGGCCCGTTACATAGAGGAGCGGGCCAGAAGAAGAAAAGCCCGGCGAACATGAAGAAGCGCGTGGCCTTTGGCATCGTGGAAGAGTTCACGTTCGCCGTAGCGCATGCGTCCTGCGGCGTGCCTAGCGACGGCGGTGGCATCGGCCTCCATGGCCGCCACCTGGCCTACCAGTCCTACGACGTCCCGCGCCAGTCGTCGCGCCGGCCGCTTCGGCGACTCACGCACATGGAGCGCGTCCAGTGCGTCCGCCTCGACATGATCAACGGCGTTTGGGCACCGCGGCGCCCGTACTTTGACGAACTCGCGCAGCTCTACGAACTCGAGATGCGCGAGCTCGCCGAGTGCACGCGCATCCGGCGCCAGCGCGCCGAGACGAACTCGGTCGACGTCGATTACTGCTGCCAGCCTAAAGTCCCGGGCACCGAGCACGTTCCCATGTGGTTCGTTCATATCGATGCGATTGTGGATAGCCCGTATCGGAAGAGTCTCCAGGAGCTCCTCTCGCTGCCCATGAAGAAGCGCATAAGCCGCGACGCCGTCCCGTGGACGCCCGCGAAGGCACGCCGTGCTGCACTCGTCCTTGAGCGGCGCCACGCGCGCTAGTCCTTCGGCAGCTACCAGATACACATTCGGCCCGTCCTGGTACCAGGGCACGATTTACTTATTAGCCTCTCTGTCTCGTAGTTGTTGTAATTTTGATCCCATGCGTGTTTTGACCGAGCCCGTTCATTGTGACCTGCTACTTTTGGGAGCTACTACTGGCTGTGTTGGCGAGCCCGGCGACACCCAGCGCGACACCAGCGCGCAGCTGCTGCGGTAGCCTGGTGCCACGACAAGGAGGCGTTCCACGACGATCTGGTCGTGTCCTGATCTGGTTCTGCAGCGTGTCCAGCGACAAAAGTCCTTGGAGCTGGGATCCGTGTCTATGGCCCGAGGCCCTCTTGGTGCCGCAGACATTCCGCGCGAACTTCCGCCACGTATCGCCTCCAGCTTAAGGATCTACAGTGTATGCTTCGCGTGGCGACGACGGGCGCTGCAGCAGATGTCTTGCACGTATCTGATGCGCTTTCCATGAGGCAGAGCCGTCACGGGTGAGATGACCGTGCCTTCCACGCTCGAGCTGCCATTTTCCAAGTACCCGCCAAGTCCCGCAAGCCATCACGGTGCAGTCATCGACGAGAGACCTCATTACGCTCCTCACGGCGCTGCGCCGTCACTTGCACAAGCACCCCGAGGTGACGTGGCAAGAGTTCCAGACGCAGGCGACGATCCAAACGTACTTGATCGAGCACGCCGGGATTGCCCCGAAGACATTCACAGGTAGCATCCTTCTGTACACTTGCCCTATACTTGCAGTCAGATTTGGTGGTCAACACTTTTGGACCAACGACGTTGGACGTCGTTGGACGAGCCAGGCTTCGCTGCGTCGCGTTCCGAGGCGACATGGACGCTCTGCCCATGACGGAGCGCAACCCGCACCTCGAGTACGCCTCGTCGAACGCTGCGCACATGTGCGGCCACGTCGCGTCGCTTGTCGGCTTTGCGATTGTCTTGCAGTGCGAGCACCGCCCAACACGAGCGTCCGCCTCCTCTTCCAGCCCCGGAAGAGGGTGGCTTTGGTATTCCGCGGTCTCTCCAGCGCTAGGTTCGCATGCGCCATTGTGAACTAGGCGCCGTCAAGATGATTGAGGACAGGGGTCTCGACGGCGTGGACGAAGTCTGCGGCTACCACAACGGTCCATTCCTGCTCAACACGGTGAGTGTCCGTGCCGGCCCCATGATGGCCCACGCCGCCTTCTTCAGCATTACCGTCTCGGGACCTCCTCGCCGCACCAGACGCAGGACCCGGTCCTCGCAGCTGGTCACATCATCGTTGCCATTCAAAGTGTCCTAAGCCAAAGCGTCGCTGCGCAGGAGAGTGCGATCATCTCGATCACGCAGGTCCACGGCGGCGAAGCGGACGACGTCATCCCATCGCGCGTCACGCTCTCGGGCACGATCCGCGACTTTAGCCCGGACACCTCGCGCTTGACGGTGATTGCGACGCACACAGCGGCCGCGACTGCTACCCCGTGACCGTCAACGCGCAGGCGAGCATCGTCGCCGACATTGTCGCGTCCACGGTACATGCTCCTCGTGGTGCGATTTGCATTAGTATGGACGTGAAAGGGTGTCGTCGCTCGGGCTGCCCGTCATGGCCTCGGAGGACTTTTCTTACTATCTGCAAAACTTCTCACGTCCATACTAATGTAGCTCCATTATATCGCACATAGATGGGCATGACTGCCGCGAGACCGCAACCCGCCCAGCGACACGTACGACTTGAACGACGCGCTTCTTCCCCTGACGCTCCGCCTCTTCCTTGAGATGGCGCAGCACCGTCTGGGCTGCACGCTCTACTCCAAGGAGGACTTCATCTCCAAGGCGGCTTCGTATGCACGTCGTTTTTGTGGCTTGAAGATCTTGAATAGCGCTTGTAGACTGTTCTACTGCGTGATCGTGGGAGGCTTGGGTTGGCGAGCCCTTGCTCGCTGGCACACGACGGATATGACAGGATGGTACACAAGAGCGCGGGCGGAGCTTTATTCAAACGAAAGTGTGAGCGCTGCTACGTCTAGTCGTTCTTGCGGTTGCTAGCATCCGTGAGGAACTTGGCGTAAAGCAGACTGTCGCGGTTGGCGTCCATGCCGCACAAGACGGAGATCGCGAGGAACGTGACGACGGCCAGGATGACCGCGGTCCAGAGAATGATCTGGTACTCGGCAATGTTCTCAATCGTAAGCGGCGCGGCGGCCGTCTTGTTGGCCACCGTCGCGTTGGCGCTCAGGCTGAGCTGACGGGCGAGGGCGACCGAGGCCGAGAGTTCCACCATGTCAATCTTCATCTTCTGCGAGAGCGTCAGCACTTGCAGACCCGCGTTTGTGTATCGCTCCTTGAGCGCCGTCTGGAACTCTTGGACCGACGAAGCGACCACGGCCTTGGCCGCGTCCTGCTTCTCAGCAGCAAGGCCGCTCAAGTCAGAGATCGATGCGACATAGAGACCCTGCACGCTCTTGTCGGCCTTCTTGATCGAATCGATCACAAGCTTCAAATTGGTGAGCTCGCGCACGACGAGCTGGTCGGCAGGGCTCGTCGACTGCAATGCCGGGAGGGCCGACCAGAGCGACGCCTCCACGCTCGCCGCGTTCGTCGTCGAGAGGACATCCGTAAACTTCTTGTCGACGCTGCCGCAGACACTGTCGCCAGCGCAGACGACGACGTTCTTGGCGTTCTTGCCCTTCACGCCCTGCGCCAAGACGCTCACGAGGTGCGGGAGCTGGCCCGTCGACGCCTCCTGCAGATCCATCGTCTTTTGGAAAGCATAGTCGGCCTTCTCCGAAGCGAAGCCTTCGCCGGCGCCCTCAACGACGACAAAGCCGTAGCCGGCCGTGTGCTTGAAGAGGTCGGCCGAGACCGCGAGCGGCTCCACGGGCACGACGGCTTCGGGCAGCGCGAGCGACTCCATGGCATGGCGGGTCAGCGAGAGGACGTCGGCCTTGCCCGAGCGGCCTTCGGCGCCCTTGACGAGGTTGGGCGCGCTGTACTTGACGACGACGTCCGAGGACGCGACGAGGGCCGCGATGGCCGACAGGATCACAAACGCCTTCATCGCAGTATACAACGCAAATGACTAGAGAAACTCCCCTTGAAGAGGGCGTCCGGATACGGCGACCCTCCTTTGGAAGCGTATCCGGGGGATGTTATAACACATCCGAAACACCTAACGCCCGTACAATGGTCGCAGGCATGTGCGCGTGGCGACCATCAAAACCAAGCGAGAGAAAGCCATGCACGCCGCAACACTCTTGCGTCGTGGTCGAAGACGATCGTCGAAAAAGCGTACATGAGAGGGCTGGGTAGTGTTACAAAGTGTTAATTCTGCGACGGTCCCGCCGTATTGCGTGGCTGCAACACCGCACAAGGTTGGTTAGAACTTGGGTGATAGTGTTATAACGACCAGCGTGAAACCGATTCGATCTTGCCAGACAAGATTGAGATGGACTGTCAGGCGAACGACGACGACCACCGAGGCGCAACGCAGCCTGCCGCTGTAGACGTGGCCTTTGCCCACGCCTGTGCACGTGCCAGCGAGGTACCGCCCTCGAGTGACGAAACCTCACAGGCGTAGCGAGCGCATGCGGAACTCGCGCGTCTGGACGCGCAACGCCAGCGCACGCGCAGCCAGCTTGGCGTCTCGGCTGCCACCATGGAGCAGGCAAGTCTCGTCGCACCTCTGCGCCGCCAGCTAATGTGATGTGGCAGTGGACGCGTGAGCACCAGCTGCTGCTGGAACGTGGCGAGCTTGCTCCTGCCAGCCTCGGCGAACGCCCGTAACCATGGACAACAGATGCAGTACATTGAGCAGTCCGTCGCTACACATGCAACTATACACGTAGCCCGCTTCTATATGGTACTCTACTTGGCTTCTTCTTTGAGCAGGGCAGCGAGGCGCTGACGGCGAGATCCATCTCCTCGTGCGACGCGGTCGAGTAGGCCGCACGCACATACGACGTGACTTGGTTGTCCGGAAGGAACACCTGGCCGGGCACGAGGAGAACCTTGGCGGCAACGGCCTTTTGCTCAATGAGCGCCTTGGAGTCCTTCACGCCGTGCAGTTCGATCCAGACAAACATGCCAGCGTCCGGCGCGTGCCACGTCGCGAGGCCCGTCAAGTGCTTGTCAAGCGCCTTGAGAAACGCGTCGCGCTGTCCGCGGTAAAAGTCACAGACCATGTTGAGGTGCGCTTCCCAGCCGGCATGGCCCCATTGCTTGAGGAGCGCGAGGACGACGGCCTGCGAGAGGCCGCTGCTGTGGAGGTTGGCCGACTGCGTGTGGAGGTTGAGGCGGTCAACAAGCGGCGCCGGGCCATACACAGTGCCAACGCGAAGGCCAGACGAGAGGATCTTGGAGAACGAATCAAATCGGAGCACGCGGCCATCCACGTCCATCGACAAGAAGGACTAGCGCAAGGGCATCGAATGAGGTCCTTTGAGGGGTGCTTTAGTACCTTGACACGCGGACCGTCGAGCTTGAGGTAGTAGTACGGGTCGTCCTCGAGGATGATGAGGCCGTGCTGTTGCGCAATCTCGTACACGCGCTGCTTGCGCGCATAGGACATGCTGACGCCAGTGGGGTTGCCGCCCGTTGGGATGGTGTAGAGCACCTTGGGCTTCTTCTTGGACGCCGGCCAGTTGTCGAGCGTCGCGGCCAGATGGTCCGGCACGAGGCCCTCACGGTCCGTGTCGATGCACACGAGGTCGCAGTTGACCGCGTGCAGGTGCGCGAGCGTGCCCGAGTACGTCGGCTTCTCAATGAGAAGCGCGTCGTCTTCGGCGAGGAGCATCTCAAACGCCTTGTAAAGCGCGTCTTGGCTGCCCGTCGTCACCGAGAGGACACGGGCCGGCCCAGGCGGCGCATGCTCCTGCTCCATCATGCCCGAGATCGTCTTGACGAGCTCCGGAATACCGGGCGTCGGCGAGTACTGCAGCGCCGCCTCGAGCACGGGGCCACGGAGATCCATGGTCTCGCCCGACTTGAGCTTGACCGACATGGACTCGAACGGAAAGGTCGACGGGTTGGGCATGCCGCTACAGTTGCGTGCGTCAGGCGAAGTTTGAGTCAAGTGTCGTACCCGCCCAAGGAGATCATGCCAGGCAACGAGACCATGGGCTGCAGCGACCGGATCGCCGACGGCTGCCGACGCAGCGACTTGGCCGTAAAGTACGACTCGTAGTGCAGCGACCGGATCAAGCGGGAACCCTGGCGAGCTTGCATCGTCCACCCTGAAAAATGCCAAATGTGGCGTTTGTTGAACGTTCCCGAACTTCAAGTTCGTCTCGAACGGCCGACGTCTGCAGTGCACTGGCCGTTCTGGCCTCTGAAGCGTCCTTCGCCCGCCTTCTGCCACGAGGTCGGCCTACACGGTGGAAGGTGCCATGAGTCATGGCTCAAGAGGTATGAGCCTCGAAGGACGGGTCCTAGGCGACAGGGTCATATAGCATCGCATGTCCACGCTAAGATCGCATTGGCGCTGCATGTGGCGTCGTCGGCGCGTCCAGTCGACGTGTCCCAGGACCTCCTTCGCTGTCGGACAGTTTCTCGTCGATCGCTACGCGTGCATTATCAAATGGCGCCAGGTCGATCGGTACGACCGGTACACCGGTAAGCTTAGTCGATGGAGGATTTGCTTGGAGAAGCATGGCAGCTGCTGGAGGCGGCCAAACCTCTTAGAATGTATGGTAAACCTCTCAAACTCCATACTTGCATCAGCCGCCGACCATGATGGCGGCGATCATCCCTCCGTTCCGGTTCACGACGGTCGAGCATCAGCTGTACCGAGGCGCATACCCGACGCTGCCCAACTTCCGCTTCCTCCGGCGGCTCAGCCTCAAGACGATCGTGAGCCTTATCCCAGAGGAGCCGACGACCGACCTCGCCGACTTCTGCGCCCACGAGGGCATCACGCAGCACACCTTCCGCGTCGAAAAGTACTCGAGCGACTCGGTGACCGTGGCGCCGGCGACGGTCGCAGCCATCTTGCAACTACTGCTCACGAAGGACAACCTGCCGCTGTATATTCACTGCCTCGACGGCGCCAACGTCGTCGGCATCGTCGTCATGGTGCTGCGGAAGCTCCAGAATTGGACCAAGCTCGCGACGCTCCAGGAGTTTTGCCGCTTCACGCGCGACCACAGCATCGAGAAGGACGAGAGCGAGTACCTCTCGTCGTATGCGGCCGAGATCACGCTGCCGCCGTACAGCCAAGTGCCCCGCTGGCTCTGGAACGGCGTGCGCATCCAGGCAAGTCGCACGATGGCGTAGCAGTCGATGCTCACCGACCGCGTGTAGAAGCACCCGACGATGCTCATCAACACGCAGTACACGGCGCAGAACCCGAGCCAGTCGTACCTTCCGGTTCTCGAGGGCGAACCCCATGCAGCCAGCACGGCCAACGCGGCGACGCCCCAGCCCTATGGCGACCGCAGCGACAGCGTCCTGTATGTCTCCTCGACCTCGTCATGGCAACCATCTCACTTCCCCGATGTAGCAGCGGCAGCGTCATGGACCTCTCGGAGAAGGTCGACGAAGGCTTGCCAGATGACGCCGACGACATGGACATCGACGAGTCGGCGCCAGAGGCTGTCGTCGTGCCTCGGTCCCTTCTCGCGTTGGACTTGGCGGGTCTCTAGTAACGTGAACGGGCTTCTGGACGTTTGAACATTAAATAGGACAGATAGACTAGGCGGGGAGCGCCTTGACGTGCTCGACGGCCGCCACAAAGTTGGTAAAGTAGTACCCGACCTTGCCGCCGGCGTCTTCCTGCGCGTCACAAATAAGACTTAGCAATTCCTTCGTTGCCAAGGGTGTCGCAAGGAGGCTCGAGACGACGACGTAAATGTAGATCGGGACAAAGTCGTCGGCCGAGAGCGAGACGCCGCGGATGCTGCGGCTCGAGCAGATGAAGTCGTCGCTGTTGGCCTCGACGACGCTTTGGAAGATGGCGGTCGCCGAGTTCATGATGCACTTGAGCTTGTCGGACGGCAGCGTGCACATGTCCATGGCCTGGAGCTCGAGGCGCGCGTGGTGCCAGTCGTCGCCCGAGAGGTTGGCCTTGACGCCGAACGCTGTCTGCGGCTTCTTGGCCAGCGTGCGCATCTTGCGCAGCATCTCTTCTTCGTTGGCTTCCGAGACGAGCGCGCGGACGCACTCGGTGATGTGGTCTTCCAACGCGACAAAGATGCGCTTCTGGAGGTGGCAGCTCACGTCGCGTCGGACGTGCACGACGAGGTCGTCGTACGTGTCGAGGTCGTTGGCGTCCAGGTGCGCCTTCGTTTCGGCGAGGAACGCGTGGATGTCGTCGTGGCTAAGCACCGTGCGCTGCATCTCGCGGAGCTTCTCCTTGATGCAGTCGAGGAGGAGGCCCGCGTGGTCCTTGGAGATGCCCGTCGTTTGCGCCGACGACCGCTTCTGCAGCAGCGTCGACTTGACGGGCGCAAAGTAAAACGGCGATGCTTTCGCGATAAAGTCGGCGACAAAGTCGTCGCACGCGCCCTCGTACGTCTCGACGACGGCCGCGACCTTGGCGTGGATCTGGCCCACCGGCGGCCCCTTCTCGCCGTGGACGAGGCACGCGGACGAGAGCGTGTGGGGCAGCGGGCGGCTGTACGGCACGCGCGGCGTGTCACTCGAGCCAATGCCAATGAACGCGTGGAGGAGGTTGAGGACCTCTTGTCGCTGCGGGCCGAGTGGCGTCGGCGCCACCACGGACGCGATCTGCCGCAGGAACGAGTCCATGATGACCATGCGCTGGCGCGTAATGGACTTTTTGGACTGGAGCTGGAAGAGCCGCTTGGGCACGCGGCACTTGCGCAGCGAATGCATCGTGCCCCAGAACGGCACCTCGATGGGCGACATGGAAACGGCCTTGATCTGTTTGTAGAGGCCGTGGAGCTCCTTGTACGACTTGTGCACGGTCCACGAGTTGCACGCGTCTTCGGCGCGGATCGTGTAGAGGATCTGGCCACCAATTGTCGCTGTGCTCACGACCCGCACGTCCAGCGCCGGCGTCTGGAGGTACGAGTAGTCCATGCTCGAGCTCAAGTCGGAGAGGCAGCGCTCCTTGGCCGAGAAGGAGCCGCAGCTGCAGGACGACGTCGTGCTCGACATGGAGTACGTCTTGGCGCGGCGGCGCTCTTGGCGCGGCGATGCGAGCGACGCCACGACTTGGTCGCCCTCGGCGATGACTTCATCGAGGAAGACCGTGCCATGGATGAGCTCTTCCATGGTCTCGGTCTCGAGCCACGTGTCGTGGTAGTTGTTTTCATCAGACGACTCGGTCGTGTCCGTGCCCGTGCTGAGGCTGCTCAAGCGCAAGAGCTCGTCCATCGTCGTCGGCTCTTCGCCGTCCAGCAGCCCTTCGTCGTCCGGCGACATCTATCAAAATGCACGCAAATGCTCAAATGACCCGCTCCTGCGCGGCCGACTATGGCGCACGTAGGTCATGCAACCAGCTGGCGCGTGGTTTTTTTAAATGATGCGATGCGAATAAAATACGCGCGGCCGCAAGCTCGACGCGGTGGCAGGGCGCGGGCAAGCCGGCGGCATCTGATCGTCGCCCGCGGCCAGTAGCCAGCCTCGCTACTCGCAGCAACTGCTCCAAGTGTCGGAGCCTCAAGCTCGGCCGCGGCCCGGTGCTGGCCACGGAATTAAATAAGTCGCGGAATTTTCACCCGATCCTCGCACGCAATCGCTCCCAGTGGCACGCGCCGAGCAACTGGTGGGAAATGCAGGGTGATTTGTTCGTTAATAATACTTTGAAGGATACCTCCGATAATTTTTCAAACACTTTTAATGTTCGATACAAATATATAATATTGCTGCATTAAAACACAACGTAAAGAGTGTGAAGCAAGTGCAACTAATGAGGAGCACACGTTATAAGTGCAGATATGAGGAAATATGTCCATGATAAATAAATCGGAAATTAAGCGCGCGCGCTCTTTCGAAGGTGTCAAAGTCGTATTCCCGGCACGCGTGCAGGAAGGAACCGAGCATGACGTAGGAAGCTGCGCCGGACGAGGCGGCTGTCCGTTTGAATAGCTGGTGCGAAATACTGCACCACCGAGGACGGTTGAAGTCCACGTCCGACAAAGCCAGAGCCCACGTCGCTCGACGCTGTGCAAGTGAGTCTGCGAGGCGAGCGTGGATGATCAGATACAGGAAGCGTGACAGAGGCGCCGGTCTTCTCACTCAAGCATCGGCACAACTGTCCGCGGGACAACTGCCGAGTAGCCACGACACTGCAAGTGCATCTTCTTGGCAGCACGGTGCTCCATCGCATGGGTCTTTCGCCGTTGGACGGTTGGTGCACATGCAGTGCGCGATGAGATGGCCATCGACGGCGCCAGTCTCAGTGCACGGCTACTGCACCGAATTCGAACAGAGCCTTGTTTACAGACCTTGAGCTCAAGTAGCATCACCATGCGCTGCATGAACAAGGCCAACCAAAGAACGATATTGGAAAAACACGCCTGATTCAAAGCTTGGGCGAGTTGGTCGAGTAAGCTGCGAGTTGCTCCTGCACTTGCGCAATTAGACTGCGCCGACACATTTAACCGCGGTACGCACCTCTCGCATGGCGACCTCGTACATGGTGGAGCGAAACGGAATCGAGAGCGCGCTCTACGCTGCGCGTGAGTCGACGACGAGACGACGGGAGGGCGTACGAGGTTGCGCTCGGCCTTGGCGAGCTCGTGGGAGAGCGCGACGACCTGCGTGTTGAGCGTCACAAGGAACCCGTTCGTCTACGCAGCGTGAGTCCATACTCGCGGGAGCGATCGTCGACCTCATGGAGCGAGGCGAGGAACGCGCCCATGGCTTCGAGCGTCTCGATCTCGGTCTCGTCCATCGCGATTTCGTACCGGTAGTATGGCACCGGATACGAAGACTCCAGAAGTATCCGGAAGATCATTTTTTGTCCGCATCATCATCCTCACGACATCATCATCCTCAAGGTGGGGCAAGTGGACGGGCGAGGCGCGGCCCGGCTGCGTTAATAGACACGATGCACCTGCAAGGATGGGTGCTGTCGTGGTACTCGCGGCTTACACAAGCATTGCTACGTACTGGTACCAAGGCAACGCTGCGACTGTCGTCCGTCGGGAAGCGGACTCCGTCGCGTCCCACGGCCTCGCTCATGGCGTGCGTGTCGCGCTGCTCTTACAATTAGGCGCTAAGAGCTGATACCGTCTGCATCTCCAAAAAGAAGAGTGGGACCTGGCGTCTGGGCGACCACTTGCTGCCATTCGCACATTCGTCGTCGACGCGATGCCTCCAGGTCGCTTCGCCGAGGTCCTCAACGAATATGTGCCCGTGGTCACTCCGTACATCGCTACGGAGCTCCTCAAGCTAGGCCACGCCCGCGTCTATGATGCGCTCTTTGACCAGCGGGAAATGCGCTCGATCGGCACGTCCAAGAAGGTGGCCCTCTTCGAGGCCCGCGACGAGGCCGATGGCAGCGCCGCGATGATGGGCTGCGTCGAAGTCTCGGGTCACGTGCTTGACGCGCACCGCTTCCTTGGCAACCAGCTCCAGAACGCAGGCTCGATCGCGAACGAGCTCCAAGCCATGAGCAGTCTCTTTGGCTCGCTCTTCCTCGATGGGTACGTGCTGCACACCGTGCATCACCCGGGCGAGAAAGGCCCGTACGAGCAGATGAGCATCAACTGGTCCGCGCTGCAGCCGCCGCACTCGTCGCACGTCGACCGCGACTACGTCTTTCTGCAGTACGCTGACGTGTACGCGAGGAACGGCCCGGAGCTGCACCGCGTGTCGACGGACGAGCTCTCGCTACGGCAGGTGCACGACTCACGCCTCGTTGCGTGCCACATATGGGAAAGCGTCGAGCTCGACGGAACCGACCCACTGCCGCACCTCGCCCTCTCGCGCGACCGGCTCCGGCGCTGGTACTTCCTCGCCGAAGCCGTCTCGCAAGGCCGCGTGCGCATCTCGTTCGTCATGACGTATCCGTGTGCGCAGTACCACCGCAATTACACGGAGAAGTTTATGCAGCGCCTGAGCCGCCTCGAAAGCCTCTTGTCCAAGGAGTGCGACATCAGTCCGATCTGCAACCTCTGCCTCAAGACCTTCTCGCTCTTCCGGCGCAAGATCCAATGCAAGACGTGCAAGCTCAACTTTTGCGCCAAGTGCATTCTCGTCTCCAAGGAGTCGACGTCGACGATCTGCAACGCGTGCAACGAAGGCAACCCGATGGGCCTCCTCCGGCGCATCGCAGCGACCAACTCGTCCGACTCGGACTCGGTGCACTCGACCAACACGTCGCTGGCGCTGCCGACGACGCCGCCGCCACTCTGCAGCCTCTCGCGATCGCACTCGACGCCGAACGTCAAGCGCCGCAGCAGCGCCGACCGGACGACGTCCAGCACGCTCTCGTCGTCGCAGGACGATTCGCTTCTTCTCGACGAGCACGAGCTGAGTAGCCACATGATCCGCGTCGATTTCTCAAAGTGGTAATGCGAGTACCGGTAGTTGCACCTTCTTATTTACAAACGCGTTGAAAGTGTCATGTCTGTCTTTTGTTTCGGAGGCTATTTCCGGCGGCCTTTTCTACGTGTCATCGATGGGGCTCGAACGGTGCGACGTGCCCATGCTGCTCACGTGGGCGCTCTACGCGTACATGCCTGTAGCACTGCACCTCTTTGTGTCGCGGCGGCAGCTCTCGTCCATCAAGTACCGCGAGCCGCTGCCGGTGAGCCTCTCAGCGCTCTTCTTTAGCGTCTACACGCTCTGCGTACCGCCGCTCGTGTGCTTTGGCGGACTCTCGTCCTATACGCTCGCCCTCTTCTTCGAGTGGATCCTCCTCCTCACAGGCCTCGTCACGTACCTCCTCACGCAGTGCATCCTCGTCGTCAAATTTCACATCACCGAGGTGCTCATGGACCCCGTGCAGGCCACGGTGCTTCGCGTCGGACGCATCAAGTACCTCCGGTGGCTCCTCTACCCGCGCTTCCAGCTCGTCGTGTGGGCGACCGCGACGACGCTCGTCAATACACCGTTGGTTGTCTTTGCGAATACTGTCGCGTCGGTCAACACAACGGTCGCTGACTTCAACCAAAGCGACGGGCTTGGCAGCATCGGGCGCCTCCGATTGTACGCGGGCATCGAGACCGGTGCGCTCATTCTCGCCTCGTACGCCCTCGCGCGCTCGATGAGCCGCATCGTCGACAACTTTGGGTTGAAAGAAACGTACGCACGCGCGGCGCGGGTCATGGCGATAGGCGTCGTCCTCTACGCGGCTGTGACGCTCCTCGCCGCCTACGGCGTCGTGCCCGGCTTTGATGCGTACCACGTGCCGACGCTGGTCGGGCTCCATACCGCGCACGCGGTGTTTGCGATCACGATCGTGCTCCCGCTGCGCGCCTCGTACTTGTGCAAGGAGGCGCACAAGGACCTAAAGGCGCGACTGCGTCAGACCAAGCGCGACGTGGACCAGCTCGAGTCGATGGTGCTGTACCGGTACTTGAACACGGACGCGGGTTTTGGCGACTTTTTGGCGTTCTCCAAGAAGGAGCTCTGCGCCGACGCCCTCTTGGCGTGGCGTGAAGTCCAGCGCTACAAGGAAGGCGGTGTCGCGATCGAGCACATTTACGCCACGTGCTTGGACGCAGGGTGTTCAGTTCCAAGTCAATATCGCACCGACCGTCCGGCGCATGTACGAGATCCAGCGCCCCCATGGTGTGTTCATCTCTCGATTCCAAGCAACAGAAGCTCTCGATTTCGTTCCAACGCTTTCACCGAGTGCTGCCAGACGCGGCGCTCAAGCTGGCAGCACCGACGCACCACCTGTCGTCCGTCGCGCCCATCGTGGACCACCGCACGTCGCTGCAGTCCCACGGCCACCGCCTGCCGTCGCAGGGCACGACGACGATCGCGGACGACTACTCACGCATGAGCGTCTCGCGCAACAAGCACGAAAAGCTCTTTCACCCGCTGGGCGCAGAGTTCCTCCGCGTCATCTACATGGACGTGCTTCCTCGCTTTGAAGAGCACGCGGCGACGGACGCGTGGGTGACGTTTCGGAACCGGGAAAAAGCCATGCTGTCTCTGGACACGCTCGAGCACATGATCGATGGCACGATCCAACACGGCGCCGACATCGCCCAGCGCGGCAGCATGCCTTGCATCGCGGACCTGCCTCGGATACAAAAGATGCTGGCGCGGCCTGCCGACGAGTACTCGTAACATGAAACTGTCCATCATACCAAACGTCCGAATTTCACGAGCAAAATCCGATTTTCAGACGAGTGGCCCTGACATGAGGCCGATTACAGCCTTGCCAACTGGCTTGCGAGGCGCTTGGTTCTGTTTTACCACGCTGTGCCGGCGAACGGCGCTGCGTCATCCGTCGCCGCACCCAGTTTGCACTTGCTACTATCTGCGGGCTCATGGCGACGACGCCGGCGATCTGCACGGTCACGTCCTGCTACATCACAACGAGCCAATGCAACCGCACCGCGAGCCCGTGCCCGACGTGTCTGACGCCATCGTCGGACATTGTTATGTGCTCGGACGCGAGCCTCGGCTGCGACGGAGGCACAGTCTGCGCGCCGCTCGTGTCAAGCCCGCTCCTCTTCAACGACAGCGCACTGCCAGCGGCAACGACGCTCGCGCCCGAGGAGGCGGCCAAAAACACAGTTACCTATGCGCTCCTCTGCGGCGGCCTCTGCTGCCTCGTCTTCGTGCTCTACGGCGTACTGCGCTGGTCACAAGCACAAAAAAAGCGCGAGGCCGCGCTCGACTCGGAGGCCACGAGCGCACCCCATGCGCAGGCCAGCGCGCTCGACTCGACGTACTCGCTCGACAAGGTTCCGAGCTTGCGGCCAACGCCCAACAAATCGCTGCTGGACAACAACAACCATAGCAACGCGAACAGCTATACGCGCAAGAACACGGGCGGCACGGTCCTCCACGACGACCCCGCGACGTACTCGATGTTTCACACAATCGGGCGCATCTCGGGCGTCCACAAGCATCGCGCGTCGAGCCTCCTCTCGCAGCAGAAGGACAGCATCATCTACATCATGGAAGAAGAAGACGATGACAAGAGTCTTGCAGACGAGTAGCAAGTCTGCCACATGTAATTTATCTATGACTACAAATGACTTTTGACGCAGCAAAAGAGATGGTAGCTTCGCGCGTTGTGCGTCACCGAGCCTACGGCAAGGGATCGTAAACGTTCGCAGGACAGCAGTCCAGCGTTGTACTCTGTCGGATGAGCTTCCACGAAAACTGCGCGTGCTCCAAGTACGCAAGGCGCGTGGGCGAGTGCGTCACGAGCACAAAAGTGCCACCGCGTCGGAGCACTTGGTACATGGCTCGGAGATACGTAAACGTGTCTTCGACGTTGGATGTCGGCGCACAGAGGAGCGCATCGAGAAGCCCTAGTATCGCCGTTAAAGCCACCTCCGAATGCGAAGCGGACCTTTGTCCAAGATGACATCGAACGTGCTCGGTGGTATGGCGGTGGGCACTTGGAAGACGTCGAGGCAGACAACTAGCATCGTATCGTGAGCCGCTAGACACTTTGTCGCCACGAACATTCCATGGCGTCGGTCGCACGCTCAACGGCTTGCGTCGCAGTCATCCGCGCGATCGCGACCGGCGACGAGTCGAGGTTGGTGATGTTGTGGTAGCCGCTCGCGTGGAGCTCGACGCCGACGTCTAGTGGTTCGTAAGAGGCGTACACTCGACGTAGCAGCACCCGAGAGACCGCAGCCTAACAAGTAGTGACTCGTCAGAGACCGTCGCCCTGCAGTGGATACCTGGAATCAAGATCTCGCACTCGAGGCCGTACGTCGCCAGCAACGGCGTCAGATACGGCGCGAGCTAACCGCCGCTTCGGTCATGCGATGGTAGCGTGCAGTCGTACCTGCGCGAAGGAGAGGTACCAGTCGAAGAACCTGCACTCGGTGAGCGCCTCGAACTTGGCGTCCCAATTCATCTTTGAAACGGACAAGGAACTTTCATTTTACGAAATGGCTACGTCGACACTCACGCGGCGGTCTTTGTGATGAGGTCGTTGATGGTGGCGCTGTGCGTCGAGAGCAAGTTGAGCGCAAAGTCGGCAATGTCCTCGGCGTCGGGGGCCTCCGTCTCGGGCTCGTGCGACCGCGGCGGCTTGGTCACTTGCGACATGACGTACTTGATCGTTTTGTCGGGGTTGCCAGGGCACGGCTGCAGCACAATCCTATGGCATTTAAGTATGATTGGTCATTTACGACGATGTACCAGCCAAGAGTGTTGTCTCGGAAGCCGTTAGGGCTGTGCGGGAAGAGGTCGTCTTGGAGCAGCGACCGGTACACAAACACCGTGCGCGTGGCTTCCACGATGCGCTGGATGAGGAATCGGCCTTCGACCGCAACGTCAAAGAGGTTGTGCGTCACCACCGACCGCGTCTCCGTGTATACCGTGTCTTCGTCCACTTGGTGCAGGATCTACCACCGATCCAGGATCAGGCGAATCAGTGGTGTCGGTGCGTACCGAGCCGGTCGAGTCGAGGAAGGACGTGCGAGGGATCTTGACGCGCTGGCAAAACACGGCCCAGAGCCCCGCGGCGACGACGTCCATCGTGGCGTCCAAGGCGTGGCACTGCATAAAGTCAAACCACAGGACGTTGTGGCGTGTGCGCAGCTCGAGCGACAAGTGACCGTCCTTGAGGTCGTACACGCTGTTCTTGATGAGCTCCGACTCCATACGGTCGTGCAGGTGGCTCAGAATCGCGCGCATGCTGTGGTCGCGGGCCACGCTGTCGACGCCGAGGCGCCACGTTCGCCACTCGTCGTGGTCAAACTGAGGCGTCAGCTACGCGACGTTGGTTCCTATCACGTCGTCTTTTAAAGAAGCAGCGTACCACGAGCTTGGGCTTCTTCTTGAGGACGCGCTCGAGCGCGTTAATGGTCTTGAGCTGCTCCTGCAGCATATTGCGCAGGAAGGTGTTTTCTTGCAGCGTCTTTTGAGCTGCGACCACCTGGTCCTTGGCGCGCGTCTCCCAGACCGAGGCGTTGAGTGGCAGCTCGGCGCGCTTGCTGAGCATGTCGAGCGTCGCGCGGAGGTCGGTCTCCTTGGCGCGCAGCGCGTCAATCTCTTGCTTGAGCGTGATGCGATGGCGCTTCCGGCGCTTGGGCTTCTCGTCCGTCGAGCTTGTCTCGGACGTCACGTCGTCCTCGACGTCGCCCTGGTACTCGTCGAGGAACTCGCCAAAGAGGATACGCTCGACGATGTCGTCGTCGCTGCTCAGGCTCATGCTGCTTCCGTCGCCAGTCCAACGAGCGACCCAATTTGCCCCGTTACGTGCCTTAGTCTCTGAGCCAATCACACGACAGCATTTGGCAACGTCCATGCGAAGGTCCCGGAAGAACCGACGGAAGAAGACGGCTTGAACCGGCGGGCAAGGTCTGCATCTCGCCGAGGACAGAGGCCCGTCGTCGCAGCGCAGGAATAATGATAGCACGAAGCAAGAGCTCGTGCATCTGGAAGGCGAGCGGTGGCGTTCTATGGCTGGACTTGCTCATGCTCATGCGTTTTTTATGAACGTCGTTATTACGTCGTCGACGGGGTGGCAGCACTGTGTAAATCGTGGCAAACTCGGCTTCGATCGCGGCGAGGTCGTCATCGCTAAGCGTCGCATTTTCGTTAAGGCGTTCTCGTTCCAGCACACGGTACCTTGCATCGAAGTCGTACCACCAGTTTGGTGGCAACGGGTTGGGCTCCTAGGGCGTGATTTCGGTTGCTGCAACATCAACGTCGGCAGAACCTCGAGCAGCGTGTGGGCAATGTAGATGCAGGCCACCGCGACGATGTGGGCGTCGTACTGCAGCGACGTTGGCGCGTAGAAAAAGTCGCTCGCGAGCGTGAGCGCCACTTGGACCGTGGCTTTGGACACACTACGTCGCGCCCATCAACAATCCCACGTCGTGCGCGCGCGCACCGCAGGAAGCGCGCGTAATTGAGCAAGTACTTGTACGGCAGGTCCATGTCCAAGTCGAAACGCAGCACGCGTAGGACCTACGCTTGGTATTAGGAAACGAGCACGCACGCAAGTACGATACATTTTGCTCGCCATCGAGGAGCCGTTCCTTCATCGCGGTGTACTCCTATCAACCTTCTGAGCATTCAGCGATGGAAGGGTGCATACCGAGCCAGTCGGAACAGGCGAGTTGGTCTTCTGGGCAATGCTGTAGGCTACGTTCATGATGTCTCGGAGTTTGCGCGGCTTCTCCGAGAGCTACACCACGCATGAAGGGGTATCCGGCGCGTGGGCGCGACTACCTTGGTCGAGAGGAAGATGCACGACGCGCCAATGTCCATGAACGGAAACGTGGCCGGGCTAGTCGGGCATGAGCGTGGCCATGTTGGTAGAATACCGCCACCTCTTGGACGCGTAGAAGCGGTGGCACAGCATCATCGCCGTCGTTGTCGCGACCTGCACGCGCATGAGCCATCGTATTCTCCTACTACGCAGCTACTAGCGTACGTAGCCCAGGTGCAGGCGCGCGCAGCAGTCGGCGACGAAGCTCGAGATCACGTGCCATCGGCGATCGGTCGCCATTCGCGCTGGCAGACCACTGGGAAACCTTCCATACCGCATACTTGCATCCAATGCAGTATGCGAGGTTCATCGAGCACCTGCCATCTTGCCATGCAAAGATGCCGTGTGCGATGATAATGGGGAAAGAGATCGAGGTGGTTGATGGTACTACACATTCATTCAATAGATAGGGGTTTCCTACTCGTAGTGTTACAGAACCATATCGATGCTACTATTGGACGGTTGACCCATCATCATCGAAGCGGCTTCTTGCGCCGACGCTTGCTGGACCATGAGCTCCGAGAGCTTGGCCTCCGACGCGTTGATGAGGCAGCTCGCGGCGTCCTGGAGGCGCAGACGACTTCGAGCAAAAGCTTGTGCTTCCGGTCCGACTCGTCCTTGGCGTTAGCCGGCGCAACGCACGTTTGCTCAAAGAGGCGGCGCGAGCGCTGGACGAGGCGCGTCGCCGAGTTCTTCTCCGACTCGAGAAAGACGAGGCAGCGGCACATGGCCGAGCACACGTTGGGCGCGGCCACCTGGCAGAGCGCTCCAAAGCGGCGACCGGCGTCGTCGTACTTGAGGCACGCGTCCTGCATCTCCATCTCCGCTGCCTGCGTCGCCTGCTGGGCGAGGATGTAGAGATCCTTGACGCCACCACACTTGAGCGCCGTCTCCATTTGAAGGCACGCGCTGTACGCAACCTGCGCAGGGTTCGACAGCGGCATGGCAGGCGTGGCAACCTTCGAGTTGGCGCTCGTGTTCTGGCGCGCCTCGGCGTCCATCTCAAAGTCCGAGAAGACGTCCGTCAGGTTGTCCGTGTCAGTCTCCATACCCGCGTCCGAGGGACCACTGAGCGGCGCCGGCTCCATATCGAACTCGCTTGACTCCCCGACCTGGTTGTACAGGTTGTTGACAAGCACATCGACCATGGACGCGTCTTCGCCCTTGATGGCGTCGAGCATGTCGGTGTTGTCCGAGTCCGAGTCGTTCTCGCTGCGCGCCATCTTCGACGGGTCCTCGACGCCGTTCACGCTCTTGCGCTTCTTGGCGCGACGCACCGGTGCGACGGCTTGGTTCTTCTCCTTCTCGTGGATATGGCGATGGCGGCAAAGGTTCCCCGACGTGTTGAAGCCCTTGTTGCAGATCTCGCAGTGGTACGGCTTTTGGCCCGTGTGCGTGATCTCGTGGCGCGCGAGCGTAAAGGCGCGGCCAAAGCGCTTGGAGCACTTGCAGCACGCAAAGGGCTTGAGGCCCGAGTGCGCCTCGACGTGGCGGCCGAGGTTGCTCGACGAGCAAAAGATGCGACCGCAGCCCTGCACGGGGCAGACAAACTTCTTGTTGTCGCACGAGCTGTTGGACTGCGGGCTCGAGTCGCAGCCATCCTTGCAGTTGCCAGGCGACTCGCAGCCCGAGTCCGAGAACGACTCGCATTTCTTGAGGCCGACGCGGCCAGGTGTTACAGCGGCAAGGGGACCTTCCGGGGGCTTCTCGCCATCAGACTCGGGCTCGATGTCAGCAATGCCACCGCCCATCGTGTAGTAGTGTTAGGAAGCTGGGAGAATGCGACTCGAATCGTAGATCAAAGACGGCGCCGGGTGAGCAGCGCGAGCGAGAAGCCGGGTGTTCAGGTCTCTGCGAATGGGATTCTGACGGAGCTTGCGGCGCTGCCACCCGGCGAGACGCTCGTACATCGTACATTGGGCCGTACAGAAGAATGTACGCTCTCCAACATACAAAAAGCAAGATCAAATGTACCGGGGCACGAACATAATGCCTTGTACGGCCTCTGGCGTCATTGGTGAGTTTTTTACAAAAGGTCCAGGACCCATACTGAATCCAAGGTAGTTGAGTGGAACGCATTGTATTTGTCGATCGCTGGTTACAATGTATTGCGACTGCTTTTGGTGGGTACGCTTCTTATTAATATTCACCGGTGCATACAAAGTGATGAGAGAGATGTAAATTATTTGATTGGACACGGGCGAACATTTTATTCGCGCGCTCCAAAACCAGATTGGCTCAAAAATTGGAGAATCCTCTGATAACGCATATCTTGCAAGGGCGGACACATCGATATAGAGAGGTATCTGTCTTTCAGTGGTCGTGGCGGGTTGCGTTTTCAATGTATCGAAATGCCCTTCAAGCCAGTGCTCCATCGGCGCAGGTGAGCGAGCACCTGGATGAGCACGCGGTTCTTCGTTGACTAACGAGTCGCTCGTTTCAAATCATATTTGGCCTCTCTTGGACCGTGGTTTATGCACCGTGCCGCCCATGATCGAATCCAGTCGGCAACCAGCCGTACCAGCCTGTACAGTGTAATGCCCTGCAGCCAGCTGTATAATCTTGAAGAGCCTGCTTAGGTCGTCTAATAGATCGTCGTCCACCGTAAAAATGGCACCGTCACGGGTGTCCTTGTATGCTCGATCTATCCACCAAGCAGCACTCTACAAAATACGACGCGAACGGATTCGCAGAGACGACGACAAAGGCCGGCCACAGAACGCGTCCGATGATGCAAGACGGGACGACGGCCGAACAAACGGGTGACAAGCCGTTCCAATTCGTATACAAATCCCGAGATCGTAGCGACGCATACAAACGCCAAGTAGTTACATTCACGTTGGCTCCTTTCCGTTCCAGCGCCGATCGTGCGCCAAATGTCGCGGTGCGCGCAGGTGCTCGTCAATATTTATGGTCCGCCCCTCGTGCGCGTGATATCCACGACGGCAAGTAGCTCCAAGGGGACGAGCTGTCTACGCCGTGTACCCAGCTTCTTCTCCAAGCCGCAGAGATGAGCCGCAGGTGACGGTTGCTTTCTGGCAGCCTTCTGGCTCTCTGTATTTTTTATAAAAATGCGCGGAGCTTCATGTTCCTCCCATCCCATATGGCAATCATAGCCATCACAAAACCCTCCGACTCGATGACGATGTCACAATACTTGAGCTTCAACATGTGCAATACCATCAGTCAATAGCTGCGTCAAGCGACGACGGCGTGGGGAAGTGCGGCGCCCACGACGCCAGCAACCACGTTCTGCACAGCGATGTCGGCCATCGCCTGGCGCGTCTTGATGGTCGCCGACCCAATGTGCGGAAAGATCGTGCAGTTGGGCAGCGTGAACAACTACACATAGTGGTAGGTGCAGAGAGAGGAGGCATGGGGTGCTAACCTTGTCGTCAGTCGGAAGTGGCTCCGGGTCGGTGACGTCAAGGCCGGCCGCCGCCAGCTGCTTGCCAACGAGTGCGTCGTAGAGCGCGGCCTGGTCCACAACCGGGCCACGGCTCGTGTTGATGAGGACGGCGGACGGCTTCATCCTGCGCAAACTACACGCACCCATTAGTATTGGTCCCACGCTGGCCGGGTGCGTACGTCGTGGCGTTGATGAGGTGTTGCGTGCCTGGCGTCAGTGGGCAGTGCACGCTCACAATGTCGCTGGCGCCAAGGAGCTCGTCCAGGGAACAATACCGAGCTCCGAGCGGCTGCGCAGCCTCGGGCTTTTCGTTGGGACCGGTGTAAAGAATGCGGCACCCAAAGGCCGCGCGCATCATCTGAGCGTACTTGGCGCCGATGCGGCCGAGGCCAATGATGCCGACCGTGCTTCCTTCGACGTCCGTGCCGCAGTACCTAAGACAGCGTGGTATACAGCATTCATCGCGCGTTGTGGGTTGCAAAACGCACTGGAAGGGCTGCCACGTGCCCCACTCGCCTGCCTTGGCGCTCAAGACGCTTGCGACCGCGTGGCGCTTGGCCATGAACGTCAAGGTCACGGCTGTTTCGGCCGTCGATGTATCCAAGACACCTAAGTCAGCACGATCTCAGATCGTCGCAAGCAGCAGAAAGACGCAAACCAGGCGTGAACCCTACCGCGACGCCTTTCGCGCGGCAGTCGTCGACCATGACGTGATTGTAGCCGACCGACATGGTCGACACGACTTTGAGGCGCGGGCCCGCCGACGCCAGCACCTCGGCGTCGATGCGGTCCGTGAGCATGCACAAGATACCGTCGCACGACCGGACCCGACGCAAGAGCTCGTCGCGCGGGATCGCAATGTCTTCGCGCTCAAAGGCGTCGCACTCGACGTTCGCGCGCTGCAGTTGCTCTAAACACGCTCAGTCATCGTTGAAGCGCTAGCTGCTATACCCATGATGTACGGAACATGGCGCGTGACGAAGACGCGGGGCTTGGCCACGCTGCTCTTGACGACCGCTTGCATCACGATCTCAAAGTGGGCGTGTGGCTTCAAAAACTATGCTTATTTAACAGGCATGTGATTGGCCCAAAACACCCATCGACTTCGAACGGCGGCAATACCATGGCAGCATCCGCCAGCGCCACGGGCCACCTCCTCGAGCCTATCCGGTGAGCGCGATGCGTGGGTGCGTAGCCTCATGCGCTCGACTTGTAGAGATCTTGGCTGGCAGCTGGACCTTGCAGCTGAGCTGGAAGAGTACCTACAGGCCATTCAGGCCGACGAGTCGGACCTGGTCAACTTTGCACAAGCCGCGCTGCTCGTTCAGAACTCGACCGTGCGGTACAGTAAGAAGGTCGAGAACCTCTACACGCTCGTGCTGGATGCGCTCACGCAGTTCCAATCGCATCCGGAGAAAGAGCGCACCACGAAGCGACAGCGCACGGCCCATGGCAGCGCATCCCGCGGGACGGCGTCCGACGGTACGGTTCTCGCCACGTCCGACTTTGAGTCGCATGGATCGTCGCTCGATGCGCCCGTTCACTGGGTCTTCCACAAGCGCGTCGAAGAAAGCGACAAGATCGATCTGCTGCCCAATACCCAGCTCCTTCATGCGTCATCGAAGCGCATCACGACCAAGACCTTCCAGTGCGATCGACGATTGGTGCGCTATTCTGGCATCTAAGACGCTGCATTGTAGGGCGTCCATGGCGCTCATGGGCTCCTTGGTACCCGACGAGGTCGTGACCGGCGAGTCGTTCAAGCTCCGGTCGTGCGCTGTGCACAGCAAGGTTGGCTTGCCTTCAAGTGCAATAGTTTGATCACATGCGCGTAGTCGGGGGCACTGCTACTGGATGACTGCAGCAAGCTCCTCTTGGATCCCGATGCAGCCGTCCCGACGGTCGAGCTACCGGTCGAGGCGGCCAACGTCACCTTTCGCCGGCAGACGCTGCTCGGTAACATTTCGGAGGGTGACGAGGGAGCGCCAGATGACGCTGCCGTCGTCGATGAGAGCATGACCGAGCACAACGTCCCCGATAACGACGTCGACGACTACGGCATGGACTACGACTTTGGCGGGGGCTACGAGTCGCCAATGAAGGACGTCGCATCGAGCAGCGTCCCGACGACGCCGCCGCCGCAAGCGACCGACTTTACTGCCAAGACGAATGAGAGTCCGTTGAAATCCAAGCCCGACCCGTGGCTGCAGCTCGACCCGTACGACGCCAGCCAAAGCGTGAGCCAGCCCTTCACCAAAGGTAGCACGCGACGGACCCGTACGTGAGTCTGACACGGAAAATATGTAGGTGTGACGTACACAACGCCCAAGCTCAAGACGACCAAGTCGGCTGTCGCCAAGGATGAGCCGCTGTACGACCCAAACGCAAAGCGCGCGCAGCGCAGCGCCGAGCGCCTCAAGCGGCACCTCGCGGCCAAACCTGCCTTGTTGTTTACCAGCTTTGACTTTGAGAACGTTCCGTTTCGGCAGCTGCACCTCCAGTACTCGAACGCAATTGTCCGAGTACGCAGTCGCATTACCTACCAATGGCCTCATCGGTTCGTAGACGGATGCGGCGGCGACGGCGCCCAAGGCCGAGCCTTTGTTTGTGCCCGCGGACGAGACGCCGACCGCGCCGATGCTCGAGGCCAACGATGGCGACGTTGCCGTCGATGAGTATGGCTTTGACGCGGGCGTGAGCGATTACGAGGACGATGATGGCGGGGTGCTGTATTCCCCTGCACCGCCACCGGTCAAGTCGGACATCATGTCGACGAAGGAAGAGAAGGCCTTCAAGCCGGAAGATGACGCGCCGTCGTACGAAGACCTGTGCAAACAACACATTGTGCGTCAACCTCGAGCATGCGTGGAGATGTAATCGTCGTCTGCGTAGGAGCAATTCTTGCACGGGTCGGAGCACTACAAGAAGCAGACGACGTTGACGCGGAAAGTTGCCAAGTGGCAGGCGTCGCTGGCGCCGCTGCTGACGGCCCAGGTTGGCACGATCTGTCCGCTTGTACTCATACGTCGCGGTGTAGGAGGCGCGCCCGCCCTTTGACATCCAAGCGTGCGGCAAAAGCATCGTCGAGCACCTCGAGCCGACGGCGCCGCGGGCGTTTGGGGCAGTCGTCGAAGGCTTGTCTGTCTACGAAGTGTGCCGCATGTTCACGGCCACGCTGCAGCTGGTACGCGCGTCTCTCTTTCGCGTGTGATGCCATCCTCGATTAGGCCAACGCTGGCAGTGTCGAGCTGGCGCATACGAACGATATCGACTCGCTCGAACTGATTGTCCGTACTTAAGCAAAGGCAACATCACTGTACATTACGAGACAGGCATCTACAACGATCGCTGGTATCAGGTGCGCGCGGACGGGCGGGTGCCAAGGAGGCGGCTCGCCTCTTCGAGCGCAAAGAGCGACCGGAGACGCTTGTGCACGAGCTCGAGGTACTGCGAGTTGCTTTGGCAGTCGAGTGAGCAAAAGGAGAGCACGCAGACGCTGGTGGCGTTGAGGTACTTCTTGCCGCAGTTCTTGCACTGACTGCGGCGGGCGACGATTGAGACGCTGGTCGCGGCGCGGCGCATGCTGCTGCTGCGGGCGAAAAGCGAGATTGAGATCGAGGCGCTCACGGGCCGAATGGGGTTCGAAATAATTTTATACAAACGCGCATACAAACGACAAGTACAGTATCTCCAAAATGAATTCGAGCCCGATGAGATAGATACTTTTCTTTCTTTTTCGGCGGCAAGAAACCTCGTTCGAATTTCTGGCTAGTTGAAGACACCGCGTTCGGCGCGGAGCCGCATGACAAGACTGTGCAGCGGCTTGTTGGCCTCGAGGCGCACCAAGTGGGCTTCGTGCGACGCGACCATGTCGCTGAACCCGTCGTCCGCGAGGCCCATGCACTGTGTGAGCGACTCGAGGTACTCCTCGGCGTACACGCCCCGCGAGAGGAGCCGCTGGACGGGCGACTTGGCGAGCTTGCGCACGAAGGCATCCCAGCCCGTCGTCAAGTCGGACGCGGTTAGACTGAGCTGCGCGTCCTGCGGCGTGTTGACAACGGTGCTGTCGAGCCAAATCGTGAGGCAGTGGCGGGGCTGCGCGGCCGGTAGCACGCGATGCAGGAGACTGTCGGACGAAAAGATGACCTAAAAGAGTGTTGTTAGTCGCCGAATCGAACAACGAAATCAGCACGCACGAGGCGATCCATGCGAGGCGCCAGCGTCACCGGCTCGGGCGCGAGGAACGGGTAGAACTGGATCTCGCCACCATCGCCGTCTTTCCAGTCAGGGTTGAGATACAGAAGGCACGTGAGCTTGCGCTTATTGGGGCGGCCTGGGTTGTCGTAGTGGCACGGAAAGCATCCGCCGTTGCCAGCGTTGAATTGGACCTTGAGTGTCTTGCCCTGCGTCCCCGGCACGAGGCCGAGACGCGTATGGTCCTCTAATGCGAGGCAGAGGTCGTCCGAGTGGAAGAGGGCGTCAAGCTCCGGCACTTGCGTGCGCACGCTCGCGTTGTGCAAGTCGGCTTCGTAAATGTTGGGCTTGGCGAACTGGGCGACGGAGCCATCGGCGCGCGGAAACTGTGTCTTGTTGGGCTCGAGGAGCATGCGCTCTTGCAGCCACTTGACCTCGGAGAGGATTGCGTCGGCCCAGTCGCGGCCAAGAAAGTTGTCGACGACGACGAACCCGTTCGAAAGCAGCTCGTCACATACACCGGGCGTGATCTTGTCCGAGAAGGACGCAAAGTTGCGCACGAATGGCCGCGGATACTCGATGGCGCCCGTCTCTTGCGTGCGGCAGGCCGCCTTGTGGCCTCGCTTCCAGTCGGCCACCTGGCACGTGCGGCTGCAGTAGTACACTCGGAGGCATTGGCTGCAGCGCAGGAGACCATCCGCGGCGCTGCCGCAGCTGCTGCATCGACTCGCCATCGCCGCCAACAAATTCCGAGCAGCGAAAAAACGCGCCCGTAACGTGTGTAAACACACACACACGTTTTACACGTCGCTTTGGAGGCGTGAAAATCTCATGCATATCACGGCGACATAAACGGCGCAATGCCGGATACGGCAACCGGCTGCGTCGTGAAGGCAAGAGCTGGCTGGCAGCATATCACTGCGCAGTATCGCAGCCCAGCCCGCTATGGTCGCGGAATAGCAATGTGGCGAGCGCCCGGGAACAGCTCATTGCAGTGCATAGCCTGCTTATCCTCGCGTTGCCACATGCGCAGACGCCGGTGACCAGGTTGATGCTGCGCCCAGGTCAGAAGGGTTGATTGTGGTACGAGCCACGGTCGTCTTTCCACCTGTCGTTCAACCTGTTCGGTGCTTTGCAAGAAGTTCTGTCCCAATTCGGTGCTTTGCCAAGCGACGCACCAATCTGCTGTGCACATTCGGACAAGCGAGAGCCGTAAATTGATGTATTCGGATGTGCAAAGTTGATTTCTGAAGTTGCGCCAGCGCCATAACCTCATTTCAGAGTGGTAGCGATGTAAACCATCGTGCACTGCCAGTGCTACGCGCGGGTTCGCATGCACAGAGAAGGTGCTGTTAACGCTCTGACGCAACCGGAATCCTCCCATCGGTACACTGTGCCTTGCAAGACCGTCGCATTTCGGTGCTTCGTGGATAGGCTAGTGCTTTGACGCTATTGGGCCAAGCGCCGATTTGAACAGAAAGGAGCTGTCGGTTTGGCACTGCGGTGCCCCATCCACATCGTGGCCAGCACGACGTCGCAGCCGCTCGTGCGTGGCACGCCGCTGCTGTCCCAGCGCGGCCACCCATTGGCTGTGCCTGGCCAATCAGAACAGAGTGGGATCTTCCCATCGCACTCGGAGCGCGATGGGTCGAACTTCAGAAGTGCAAAGCAAACTCACTTTTCCATTTGACCCTTTGTTGACAAGCATGCGAGAGACGCGCCAGTCCTTCATGCACGCGATCCAGTCCATGTCCAAGGACCCGCTCGACACGCACGTGCACGCCAAGTGCGCGCGCTTCGCGACGTCCGCGGCCAAGTCGCTCGCGACCGACGCGACCAAGTTCCAGTTCAAGGCGTCGAGCCACGGCATTGAGATTTACGAAAGCGTATCGCGGCCGTACCGCGTCAAGGCCGTTGCGCTCGTGCCCGGTGACCTCGAAGACATTATGTTCGTGCTCGGGAAGCAAGGCGCCAAGGCCCACGAGTTCCGGAAGACCATGTTCCACCTCTTCCAGGAGTCCTTCTCGGAAGGCGTGAGCCTCCACGCGCCCGGCCGCGGCCTCGACCAGCAGCACGTCAACCTCAACTGGCTCGCGCTCGCGGACGCCAGCTTGCGCTACGACATGACCTACATGACGGCAACGTCGCGCTTCTTGCGCCGCAGCACGGGCCTTGCCAACGCCGGGTCGTGCCCGGCCGACGTCGGTGTCCAGATCTGGCAGTCGGTCGAGATTCCCGAGCTCACGACGTTCACGGAGCGCGACACTGGCTGCATGCGCTTGCGCCTCGAGACGTCGGGCTTTGTTGTCGAGCGCACCTCGACGCCGCAGACGAGCCAGGTCGCGTTCCACTTGAGCTTTGGTGGCGCGTCCGTCTCGAGTGCGTGGATGCAGCTCCTCGCCGAGCGTCTTGCGAGCATTGCGTCTGTCTTCACGCGCCCTGGCAGCCTCCAGCTCGTGCCTCGGTCGATCTGGACCTTCAACGCCTACTGCTACTCGTGCTTCAAGTCCTTTGGCACGTTCCGGCGGCGCCACCACTGCCGCCTCTGCGGCAACTCGATCTGCTCCAAGTGCTCCGTCTCGGTCGAAATCACATTCCCTGGCTCGCCGACGGCCAGCCACTACGACTCGACGTCTGTCCCGTGCTGCCACAAGTGCGCCGACACCAACTCGCAGATGGACCAGCACCTCATGGAGATCGCGCGGCCGTCGCGCGTCTCGAGCGTCACCAAGCCGTCGTCGCCGCCGCCGATGCCGTCGACAATGACGACGACAACGACGGCCGTGTCCCCGATCCACCTCTCGTTGCGCGACATTTCGAACCTCTTTGCACCGACGACGGTGGACGCGGTGGTGTCACCGACGGAGCGTGTGGATGACGACGTCGAGTCGCCTGCCGAATCGTCCTTCTTCCGCATTTCCAAGGGCAGCTGCATGCGCGTCCGGACAGAAAGCGCCCAGTCGACGGCGCCGTCGAGCCAGCGCAGCTCCCGGAGCACGCTCACCGAGTCGGACATTGAAGCCAGTCTCGAACTGCTCAACGACGACTTTGACAAAATCCACATGGAGCGCCTCGAGGCCGCCAAGCGCCGCCTCAACCTCGACGCCGCGAAGGAGAAGCGGCCCCTCGTCTACCTCTATTAGACGCTCTCTGTTCGTGTAGCTTAGTGTTGTTATTGCTATATCGCAAACGTATCTTATTTATACCTCGATCCCTCCATCGCCTTGCTAAGAAACAGCACAAGTACGTAACCTTCGAGGAAGACTTCTACGAGGCGCCTGCCGCCGTAGCCGCCGCAGCTGAGCTCCGGCTACCCGACGCTATCTTACCAAAGTACGCCGACTTCGTCTACCAAGTGATGCTCCGCGCGGTCAAGTTCCGCGCACATTTGCACTGGCTCGACAGGGCCGACCAAGCGTGCCTCTTCTGCCCCGCG